CAGATGTGCAGCAGTCTATGATTGGCTCATGCTGTCTGGAGGACGTGGCTGTGAGGGTTCTCACAAGAGTCATCGGTCACTGTCCACACAGGAACCAGCTCCTGATTGACTGTGGATGGGCTGGAATTAGGTGGGTTCAACTTCATTCAATGGGAGCTAATACCTATCCCCTAAGTTCTGTTTTTGTTTTACTCATCACTGCTATCATCAGTGTAAGCTCTGTTTTGGAACAACCATGTAACTTAACCTTTCACCTACTCTTGCTTGTCTCTCTCAGTTTGGACGGAGCTGGAAAACTTCCCACTGGATACGCTGTGATCGAGGGGCTTCCAAACCTCAAGTAATGCTTTAGAAAAAATAAAAAAATCTCAGTCTATTTTAGTATCTTTTTTCTCTTTTACTCTCAGTACCAATGTTAAATGTGACTGGCGTGTCCCTCCAGGTTGTTGTCTATGACCCAGGAGCATGGACGAGTGGAGCCCATCTCAGGACAACTGGACTACAGCAAATACCCCCTGGGCTCTCTGCTCACACTGATTCCCTACCACGTTAGTACTGAATGATTTATAGCACATCTTATTGACACATCAGTTTTATTGTACATTTTCCTGTTGTCAGACAATGCCTTTTTTCTGCAGTCATGTGCAACAGCAGCGATGCATCCTGTGTACCATGTACACTCCAAGGGTCGTCTGGTAGGGAAGTGGATGCCCACTCGCGGGTGGTGAAGAGCTGGATGATGTCTCCCCTTTCTTGTCTCTTTGGGACAGATGAGATATATAGAGACTCATTCCAAATTATTTACACATTAGAAACACATACAGCGATTCCTTCTTTGTTAGTGAGATGTGCCATCTTGATGGTAAAACATATAATTAATGAAAATATTCTTACTGTGGGCTTCAGAAGTTTCATACTGTAACAGAAACCATGTTCCACTAATGTTATGTCTTTAAAATTAATTTTTGTGTTCTGCACCTGTTTTGTCACTTTTTCACTGCCTACAAGGAGACCTACCTAGTGATGACTTCATAGAAAGTCATATCACTTGTGCTATAAGCTATTAATACCAGTGCTAATAAATGTGTATGAATGACCTTTTATATACAACTGCAAACTTTTGTGATTTATTTTTTCTATCAAAATAAAAATTTTCTTGGCCCCCCTTTAATCTTCTATTTTTCTGTAATCTATGAATAAATAAGTGCCAGCGTTTGAACGGACACGTAAAAAATATCTTTGTGATAAATGTTATTTTTTTAATATTACAGAAAATACATCATTCGCATTAATAGTAACCTACATTACTTATTGAAAATATAATAATTAATCAGTCGGTAAAAACCCTTCCCCTGTAGGGTTTTAGCCGCACAGACTGAGCTGATGTTCGAAGTGCATTTTGGGAAATGTGGTTTTAGCTGGAAGCAGCGTTCCAGTTGGCCATTGAATGACCTTTCACTTGTCACGTGGTTTAAAAACTTCTGCGGGATGGCGCGGAAACTTGTCCCAGCAGCACACTGCCGTGCTGTCACTGTGTGAAAGTTGTGTTTACATTTTTGTGTGGCGGTACTGACGCTGTACAGTAAGTTGTGTCGCTTTAGACGCGTTTTTGTTTCTGTTTTTATTTCCCACTTTTATTTGGACTTTCGGCGTGTGGCCGCTGATTGAAGCAGGGCTGCTTCTCGCTGTTTGAGAAGAATGGCCGCCCCACACTGTTCGTGAATAGAAACGGACTGACTGAAAACCTGCGTTAGCATCTACACCTCTGAAAAGCAAATTATATGTTGTAGTGTTACGAGCAACTAACTAAAGTCGCGCTGGTTGTCGTTGTTATCTTTAGTCATGAGTGTGCTGGAGGTGAAGTTCATCGGGGATGGCGATGTCCTGGAGCACATCGTGGACAAGCAGGATGGTATGGATGCTCTGCTACTGTAGAAATGTTAGTTTACGAGCACTTCTGTGTATCTCTGACTCCGCTTTCCGTACTGTGCGTACCTCCATAAGGTGCGCAGAGCATCGCCGGGTCCGTTCAGAAGATGGTAAAGTTTAAGAGCCCGGCTGGACGACGGGGATGCAGAGAGGATGCGGAACATGATGGAGATGAAAATGGAGTCCACGATGAGCAGGATTATGTCCAAGCTTTAGGAACAGATAACGCAGAAGGTGAGTGCTGAGCAGCGGTAATGACTTTCTTCACCGGGAGGTTTGTTTTCTTTGCAGACAGACCGTGATCAGCTGACGATGCTGCTGACTCAGGTTTACTGCTCTTTGTAGATTTACCCAAATACGTTTGGAAAAATGCAGACAGATGTTGGCTGATTTTCTAAGTCTACACAGTCAAGCAAAGTACAAATGTGGAATTTAGCAAGTGCTGGTTCACCAGCTGAAATTCAATTTAGTGACAGATTGCATATAGTTAGCTCAAATCCTTACAAAAGCCTTGTAAAAAATATTCATGTCACAGAGGTACTTATGATTATGGCAGGAGACTTTCTGTACACCTCAGTTTCACTCCATTGCACACATTAAGTGTGTTTGTAAGAGTGACTATATCGCTGATATTGACATATTATATGCTTATCAATACTGGCATATAGGTTGTTTGATTACATGAGTTTAAAAATCTTTTTAAAATAATTTTTGGTGGGAAATTTGAACATCCATAATGCTGTGAAATTTTAGCTTTGTATAAATGCATGAAAAATATCTGAGGCTTTTTCTTTCTTTCTTTTTTAAATTCATTTTAAATTGACCAGTTTTCTCTTGGATTTACAGAAGATGAAGATGGCTTGTCAAGAGTGGCTGGATCCTCCATCTTTACCTTTCAGAAAGTCAAACGCAGCCACAGCATGGCCCAAACCGGTGAGAGCCTCCATTCTCTTCTCACATAGATCGGAAAACATTTGCACATTATACATCTCCTACCAGTTCTTTCTTTAGACACCGTATATGCTCATTTTTTGTTGCACACTTTTCATAAACAGCAAGTGAGCTGGCTCGGACTCCTGGAAAAAGCGTGAACTTCAGCGCGACTCCAAACTTTGAACCCTCAACCCCCAGTCGAACGGGGCGGAGTGAGTACAATAAACTTTCATCACCTTTTCCGTATACTCATCTTTTTGCTCATTTTCTCACAGTTAAGTATTTTCTTTTCTTCTATTTCAGACCTTAGAGGTGAAAGCAGAACACCACAGAAGGTGAGACCATAGAAACCTTTAAACTTCTTAAAGTCCAAAGCCAGCAACCTCTGGTGCCAACTTAAGAATTTTATTTTATTTTTACTTAACGGCAGAGCAAAAAGGTCCAGTTTGTCTCTACAACACCACACAGGCTCAGGAAGAGAATAGCAAGTGAGTCTGACTGGGAATAATTCAATTCATTCTAAGTAAAATTTCACCTTTCCTCTAATCTAAATGTTTTGTTTGTTTGTTTGTTTTTTAGCTCCGAGCTTGCGGTCAGACAGTGACAGCGAGCTTTCACCCTCTGACTCGGGTGAGGACGATGATGAAGATGGGCTGGAGGAAGAGCAGAAAGGAAAGAAAGAGGATAAAGAGAACGTGACCACCCCGAGAACTCCCAGTAAAGGTTTATCAGCAGCTCTCTACAAGACTCCTGCCAAGAAGAGCAAGAGCACGCCTGAACCTCAGAACCAGCCCAGTATGGTTGAGGAGTACTTCGAAGCTCACGGCAGCTCGAAAGTGTTGACGTCAGACCGAACTCTGGAGCGTTTGAACACCCCTAAACTTGACAGGGTTTGTTTTTAACTGCATTTTGAAACATTGTAAATGAGCTGCTTTCCTAATAGATTTAGTGTGAATTTATCTTTATTTTTGCAGGAAACGTTGGTCCGACTTCTGGAGGGGAAACAATCCTGCTACTCAAAAGAGATCCAGCAGCTGCACGACAAACACAGAATCCACTTTAGCAAATGGATGTTACAGTTACAGTAAGTGAGGTTGCAACGTAGTTGTGTGAATTTTCTGGTGTTTTAAGAGCAGTACAAAGTGTCTGTGCCTGTCTGTGTGTAGGCTGGGATTCAGCGTGCTGGTCTACGGTCTGGGGAGCAAAAAAGCTCTGCTGGAAGACTTCAGGGAGTCTCATCTGTCGCAAGAAATTCACCTTGTGGTTAATGGATTTTTCCCTTCCATTACTCTTAAATCAGTCAGTATACACACACACATGAAAATATTTTGCATAAATTGCATAATAAAATAAATATCCCTGATCATGAAAATTAAATTCTCACAGATATTAAACGCGCTGACGTGTGAGGTTCTGGATCACCAGGGAACTTTCCGAACCCCCTCGGACCAGATCCAGTTTATCTCCCAGACCTTAAAAGACAGTAAGCCCATCAAACTCCTGTGCATCCCAAGCATGTGTGGTTGTACCGCATGTTTTACACCAATGTCCTCACAGGCCCAGATCTGCACGTGTACCTGCTCATCCATAATATAGACGGACCCATGCTGCGAGGAGAGAAGACCCAGAGTGCACTGGGGCAGCTGGCATCCCTGCCAAACTTGCACATGGTGGCTTCTTTAGACCACATCAATGCTCCACTGGGTGGGTGTTCATAATAGTCTGCACTGAGGTGGTAATTCTGTTGAAATCTATCCTGAATACATCCTGCTTGTTTTCAGTGTGGGACCAGTTTAAGCAGAGCCAGTTTAACTGGCTGTGGTGGGAATGTGTGACATTCCAGCACTACTCGGAGGAGACATCGTATGAAAACTCCCTCCTGGTGCAGCAGACTGGCGCTCTGGCTCTGTCCTCCCTCACACATGTGCTTCGCAGCTTAACACCCAATGCAAGGTAACTCCAAAGACCTACTGGGTAGTTGTTTTTAATCTTCTGTCTAAATGAACAAGGAGAGAGCCATGGGAGGATCTTAATGAGGTGCTAATGAGTTATTGAAATACTAGGATCTAAATATGACATATCAGATGAGAAATATTAGCTCGCATATTAGCTTCCTTGTGATTCCTCCCAGTCCACTCCACAAAATCATCCAATAGTGTTTTGCACTCCTGCCCATCACTAATACAGTGGTGTAAAAAGTGTTTACCCTCTTCCTAATTTCCTATTTATATGTTTGTCCCACTTAAAGTTTTCAGATCATAAAACAAATTTCAATATTAGACAAAGATAAAACAGGTGAATACAAAATGCACTTTCAAAATCAAGGTTTTCTTTATTAAGGGGAAAAAAAATCCAATCCCACTTAAATAGGACCTTCCTGACAATGTGGAGCAGACTAGAAGATCCTCAAAAGCCAGTCATCACGCCACAATCCAAGGAAATTCAGGAACAAATGAGAAATGAAATAATTCAGATCTCTCAGTCTGGAAGAGGTGGGACCTGTGGGACTCCAGCAAACCACAGTGAGAGCTGTTATCCACAAATGGCAAAAAAACATGGAACAGTGGTGAACCCTCCCAGGAGTGGCCGGCCTACCAAAATTACCCCAAGAGCACCGCATCCAAGAGGTCACAAAAGATCCCAGAACAACATCCAAAGAACTGCAGGCCTCACTTGCCTCAGTTAAGGTCAGTGTTCATGACTCCACCATGAGGAAGAGACTGGGCAAAAATGGGCTGCATGGCAGAGCTCCAAGACGAAAACCACTGCTGAATAAAAGGAACGTAAAGGCTTGTTTCAGTTTTCCCAGATGATCCCCAAGACTTTTGGAAAAATACTCTGTGGACTGAAAATAGAATAGAATAGAATTCAACTTTATTGTCATTGCACATGCACAGGTACAGGGCAACGAAATGCAGTTTGCATCCATCCAGAAGT